ATAGCTCCACGTCAGACCAGCAGGCACCATCAGAATACGCGACAGAGGATCCAGTCAGACACTCTAGAGGACGGGCGTTGGGCCATAAGGTGGAGAAACGATATCCGCGAGAGGGCAACACTTATCATCATGGGGGGACAGGCAACCAGCAATTTCCTAGGGTGGTTTCAGTTTGTTTTTTCCTGACAGTTTGGGGAGGAAGGAAACCAAAGGAAATGAAACAGACCAGCCACTCTGAAGCAATCAGAACTGAACCTATTGCCAAACCGCGTAAACAGTCACACCGCCAGGCACTAGAGCCTGAGCAGAAACTCTAGCCAGAATCTACTTCCGTCTAAGGAAGGCAAAGTGCACTCTGGTTGTTCTGGTTCAAGGAACAGCTTTGTTGTTTGCCTGGGACAGTTCACACAGAAAGGAGGTGTCAGCAAGGGGCAGCATTGGCCATTCGGCCAGTTGCAGAGGATGGGACAATGGGACACTGGCAGATCAACCTCAGAGAGGCCAGCAGGACTCCGACCTGACAGCAAAGTCCCTTCTCTCGGCTCCCCTGGGCAGCTCTGGGTATGTGGGGAATTCTCTACATGGCTGCTCAAGAGAGAGGAGTCCCCAGAGAACCAGGGAAGTTGACATGAAATGTCAGCATTAGCTCTGCATAGCAGAAAATCGGCTAAGCAACACCTCGGCTCACCCCTTCCTGCCTTTTCCTCCCTGCCTGTCCCCACAAGTCCAACAGGACCCCCTACCACAGTTGTGAGCCAGCCTTTCTTCTTTCTGGGTTTCTTGGGAGAATGAGGCATTTGCTCAAGTGTGGAACCATCTGGATGTGTGGAAAGTTAGGAATAGAAAGACTGAGAGGAAGAACCATTACATTAGTCCTTGTGGTTTTCCATCAGCCGTATACCTGCACTGAGTGCCAAGTAACGACCAGGTCACAGGAAGTCCTCCGCGTTCATGCCTCCTGAATGAGAAAGAAATATACCCAACAAGGCACTCCAAGGGACTCCAACAGAGAAGAATGCCCCATGTAAAGGCCCTTCCCCACACTGGCTCCCCTTTGTGTACCACAAACCAGTTCCGAAGTGTTTATAAGGCAGATCTCTGAACTGCTGGTTCCAGCTGGTAGCCAAAGGATGGCTCCATTTCCCTGTGTCTCTTCCCACTTGGATTCTTCGTTGAATAGAAACCTTTCATCCCTTGGGAATCCATTTCTCTCCTGCCCCTTGGCCTGGTGACCTCAGAGAAAAGATTCCCAAGTCTAATTCCCAAGCTTACAATTCCCTCCAATTGTGCGCTCTGTCTGGGGTTCAAAAGGCGCTTCAAGGTGAGAAATCGTTAGCACTGAAAACAAGGAAAGGCAAGAATTTTTCATAGAATCCCACCGCTCAGAGCAGCTCTTT